GGGGGGGGGTGCGTTTGTGTGCGTGTGTGTATATTTGTATGTGTGTGTGTTTGTTCAAGTGTGTGTATTTGAGTTATGTCTGTGTTTGTGTGTATGTGTTTGTATAATAATATGTGTGTATGTTTGTGCAAGTGTGTGTGTGTGTGTGTTTGTGTGTGTGTGTGTTTGTGTGCCTGTGTGTGTGTTTGAGTGTGTGTGTGTGTGTGTATGTATGTTCGCGTGTATACGTGTTTGTGTGTGTTGTGTGTTCGTGTGTTTGTGTGTGTGTTCATATGTATGTAAGTGTGTGTGTCTGTGCTTTTGTGTGTGTGTGCTTGATTGTGTGTGTGTGTTTTAACTAGCCCTCTAAGAGTCACCAAATGAAGAGAATGGCTAGTAGGCAGTATAACGACTGATTTTGCAGTTTGCAGAAGGGTCGACCCCTCGCAGTGGTCGATGTGACAAACACCAACTGACTTTTTTAGGAAGTCAAGATTTCAGAAACCGAATGTTCTATCTGCACCATCAAAATCTGAATAATTATATTCTCAGTCGTTATCAAGATATTAAAAGAATTGTATTCGAAAACGCTTGGCACGTTGTGAAACTCAATTTTTTTATGTCAAATAAAAAAAATCAACTAGGTACTGAGCAGATAGAACTTTGTAATTCGTATGCGTGGTGCCCACTACAGCTGGATCGGGCCGATCGCCCGACTCGATCGCCTGAAACTGAAAACCAACACGTTTGTTTTGGGGGCGATCGAGTCGGGCGATCGGCCCGGTCTGCCGATCCCGTCCGTAGTGGGCACCCCGTATTAGGAAGCAATTGTTTGGTAATCTCTGCCTGAATGCACCAGGGCTGTGACGTTGGTGATCACGTCACCCCAGTGGATGTTGAGGATGGCGTGGAGACAGCGCTGACGGAAGCGCTCAAGAAGTCCCAGGTGGTGGCAATAAATGACCAACGACTCAAAGAGTAGTGTGGTTAAAACAACGGCTCTGTGCACTCTGATCTTTGTGCATTGTGTCTGAACCTTTTAAACAAACAGCAGAATATGCTGTTTGCTTTGGCAAGCCTCTTCCGGATCTCTGTGTTGATGTTGGCATCCGATGAGACGGCACACCTCAAGTAGGGGAATTGTTGGACAGTTCCTGTTCGGTCTCGCAAATAACAGTCTTTTCCCCAACCGCACAGATCTGTTAACTATTGTTTCTTTTACATAGATCGCTGCTCTTTGGTTTGTGGGAATGGTTTGTTTGAAAAGCATCTGCGATAGTAGTATGGTATTGTAGGTGTTGTTGAATTTAGTCGTAAATTCTGAATGCTTGCATTGAAAAGAAATTCTCGAAAGAGCTTTGTTTGAAAAAGATTATCTGAGCAGTTTGAGGAGCTCTGAATTTAGTACACCGATCTGTAAGCCTATTCTCAGATGAGCCTGAGTTGTCCATCCTGTCTGTCACTTCAAGTATTGCTATTGCATTGATGCAACTGGGGATTCTAGCGACCGAGTGGTTAGTGAACATTGACTATTAATGTTGACAGCGTTGAATTTTTCGGGCGGGGAGGGGGCGGGGGAGTGGGCGGGGGCGGGGGAGGGGGCTTGTCACTCGGAAGAGTCTCCTTGTGCCAGACACCTAAATTTAACCTTGTTTACAGAAATAGACTTCTACACTGTGGCGACCTGTAATATTGTGATGTTAGTGTAGCTAGAGAGACGTCTCTTTCTTCCCGCGACACCCAAAAGGGTATAAGAGGCTGATAAAAGTAAGAGTAAAAGTAAAGTAAAGTATTGCTAGTGATGTACTTTTATATATGGACGGCATATACGACTTTTATTGATGTGTAAATGTTTAGTGGGGGGGGGTTTTCTTTCAATGTTGTTTCATTTGTTTTGTGCACATCATCTGAAGGAAGGATTCTTCCAGCTTTCCTTATTATGTAAATATTTTCTCTCCCCTTTCCTCTAATCAATTCCCCTCCTCGTCTTGAAAGCTGTAAGTTATCTTTTTATCATAATTCATGTCATCGGAATTATTCTTTTTGCTTCTCCTTCTATGCGTCTTCCTGCCTTTGCCTCCCGTATACAGTACATTTATTGTCATATTTTTCCCCCAACATCATAACTTTTGGTACTCAACCAGTACACACACTCATGGACACCTACATAATATTATTATGTGGTGCTGCGGTTACTTGCTCCGATTTCGCACACAGGAGAGCTGAGTTTGAATACCGAGTGGGGAGAAGATTTTTATCGAGTATCTCGGTCCTTCTGCTGGGACGTTGTATCCCTCTCAGTCCGGGTTGTCCCTGACAAGCAGGATCGGAAGCCCGCCTAATAATATAGAGTGTCGATAGGGGCGTAAAAACACCTCCATAGAAAACACACCCATGGACACAGTATTAATCGTTATTATGTTTCTTGCCTCTTCTTCTTATTTTGCTGATCTTTCTCGTCTTCGTGCTTCAAACCCTCCTCTCTCTATGTGTTATACTTCTTCTTCCTCCTCCTCCTCCTCATAATCTTTCTTCTCAACTCCCCAGTCAACGTGAAAAGTATAACACGCATACACATTCACGCGCACACACACACACACACACACACACACATACACACACACACACGTACACACTCACACACTCACAACACACACACACAAACACACACACACACACACACACACACAAGAACAACAACACACACACAAACACACATTTCTAATTTTAAAGAGACACAACATGTTGGCAAATTGGTAAATTTTTATTTATAATTTTCAAAGTCAAAACATGACGTTGAAACAGCTCGAGACATAACGAGTGAGAATCAGCGATGAGAAATTCAATGACAACGAAAAAAGTAAGGATTTTTAATGAACTCGTAGGTAACAGTATGAGGTCTGTTTTGATGTCGAGGGGTGAACGCCACTGTCCAGACAGTTGCTGTTGAAAGCTGCAAGAAAGAGTGGACCTCAAGCTGAACTTCAAAGCAATGGTCACTGAGTAACCAACACTCCTTTCGTATGCGAATGTTCTATTTAATATATCCTTCAAAAGCGAGGGAATTATAAGTCCATTGCATACAATATTAATGATAGTGACATCAAAGCAGACCTCTCTACTGAACGAACACGATGGGGAATCTAAGTCTCACTCCTCCCACTGCGCTTTTAAAAGGGAAGGGAATTATATTTCGGGCAAGAAAGTAGCGTGGGTTGGTTTTGTTTTAAAAAAACACTAAAAGAAAAATAGACACAGGTTTAGGGTCTCTTCTAAAACAAACACTAGACTGGAACCAACAGCACATTGTCGAGACAGTTGGTGTTTTGAAAGCCAAGCCTGCTATCCTCCAACACAGCTGGATAGAAAAACTGTGTAAGGTAACTTTTTTGATAAAAGAAAAAACGAATACAAAAAAAACCAAAGTTACTCTTACATTCAAGAAATGTGTATAGCTTGTTCTTTCACGTTATGTACGTTGGTGAAACGTTTGATATGAATGGCCTACCAAACTCGCAATGGTCATCCCCCTATCTAGGTGTCAACGGGAAAACGCATTCTCGGGTCTTATGTGACAGCAACATGGGTAACAGCCAACACAGACGTCACGCATGGTGGAAAACATTAGTTGGCTGCTGCAGCGACCTTTCAAATTTCTTCTCTTCACGAGAATATTGTTCGTATCAAGTCCGAGCCTTTGTAATCTTAGCGCATTTCGTTACGAAGCGTTGCTCAACCTTGCATTGTTCTTCGGCCAGTAAGCCAGATCCAGAGTTGGTTAGATAAGATAACATTATGACAAAGCACTGTCAGATGTCTTTGCTGCCTTGTGCTTTACCTCTTGTATATTATATATTGTATTTTTACAGTGTCATTCATTTGATGAGCTTTTGTGTATTACCTCCGTCCATTAGCCAGTCACACCTCTCTGTCTGGCATATTGAGCAACGTCTCGAAACTAATCACGTGATTGGTGGCTTCGAGAAGCCACGAAAAAAAGCAACGCCCTTTAAGCAGGTCTTCATTGTCCCCCTAGTCGAGTTCACATTGCTACCCGAGCTAGGATTACCTGGCCTGACGGGTCCAAGTGAAGAAACCACAAACCTCTTCCAGACGGTCGCTGGCTGGCATCAAATCTCCGAGAAGAAGAATTTGTGCTTCAGAAATCGAGCTGATGCTGCAAACGGGTGCTGTATAATAATATACACAATAAATAGATGCAGACACCAACCAGAACAAAAGCCAACGTCAAGAACAACAGCAACAACAACAACAACCACAACAACAGTAACAGCAACGATTGATCACGGGTAGGGAGCACTTAGGCTGCCCTATAATTAACCCAATCTGAACCGCTGAAAGAATAGAACTTGATAATATTGATCAACAACGCGAGGCAGACAGAAACAATAGGTTGAAGCAACCACCTGCATTCTTCATTTCACCTTCGAACGGCAGGGAGTGCTTCAGAATTTGTACGTAGTCCCGGTTATGATTTTTTTCTTTAAATATCGATCTAGGAGTAAAAAACAAAAACCAACGAAACGTAACAACTGAATTACTACGTCACACTAGATTCGGGTATTCCAAACACTACGCAGATGAAGTGTGGATGCTACGACGCAATGAGGACTTGGCATTGATGTGGATGAAGGGAAGCTTCGGCAGTTAGTCGCTGTGCACAGGGATGTCATTCCTTCAACATGAACTTGTAGAACTCTGTGAATATAAAAGGAATAAAGATGCACATGAAATAATAATGATAATAATAATAATAATAATAACAATAATA